TCTACTACTAAACCAACGGATATATAAATATTCTAATTTATAAAGTTTAACTACTAACAAACTAATTAATTGTATTATAATTTGTAAATTAATTCTTAACACTCCCTCTTTTCACCATTAGAATGATACTTCACAAAAAAAAAAACGTATCCATCAAGGCAACAAACAAATTCATTATCTTCAAAATACTTGTCTATACGACAATTCCATGCTCTTGGCATTTGTTTTAGCCCATACAAAGTTTTTTTCAATTTCAACACGTTATCTTCATGCCTTTCAATCACGAAACCTAATGGTTGTTCTATATAAACCTCTTCATTAAGATAGTCATTGTGAAATGCTGATTTACATCAAGCTGAAAATTTTTTCACTTCATTTAAACTGAAATAGCTAAGAGTAAGCGAATAGTCTCCATGTGAGCAACTGGTGCAAAAACCTCATCATAATCAATCCCATGTTTTTGCTTGTATCCTTTAGTCACAAGTCTTGCCTTGTACCTTTTCACATTTCTTTGAGAATCTTTTTTAGCTTTATAGACCCATTTGACACCAATAGTTTTATGTCCCTTAGAAAGAGTAGATAGCTCTTATGTGTTGTTTTTTTTTATGGATATGATCTCTTTCTCCATAGCTTGTCTCCATCTTGAATCTTTGATGGCTTAATCAAAATTCATCGGTTCACTGTCAAGAAAAAGACAAAACAAATCATTTATATCAAAATTAGTGATCTCCTCAGTTTCATCATAAAGATCTTGAATGTTCTTCAACTTTCGTGACCTTCCATTTGAACTTTCTAAAGAAGTGGGTGATGCAACATGAGTTGGAGAATGAGATAGAGTTGCCTCTTGTAAAGGTACCATGGTCTTTTGGTCTTCCTCTTCAAAGTATGGAAAAAAATCATAAGCATTTTCTTATTTCTTCTCCTAATTCCAAATCACTTTTTTATTAAATTCAACATCTCTACTTACCATGATCTTGCCATTGTTTGGATTATACAATTTGTAGCCTTTTGAGTTTGCATTATACCCAATAAAAATACGTTTGACAATTCGATCATCGAGCTTGAATCTCTCTTATTGCGGGACATGAGCACATGTAATACTTCCAAAAACTCACAAATGGTTGATATTAGGTTTCATTCTACTCCATACTTTTTATGGGTATCACTATCTCTCTCTTTACATGCTAGTAACAAAGTTGTTTCTTTCTTATCTTGTTTATCATTGACAGAGTTAGCTTGTTCCTCATTCTCGTTTAAAGTGTTACGACATTCCCAAGTATAATGTCCATATTTGTGACAATTGTAACATTCAATATTTGATTTGTTATAATTTTTATAGTTACCTCTTCCTATTCCTTTTCCTTTTCCACGACCTCTATTTGACAGTTGACTTTTGTCTTCATTATCGACATCGTCTTGAGTTTTCTCTCTTTTGAATGCTTAACCACGACCACGTCCTCTATCTTTTCCTTGTCCTATTTGCTTTCCACCATCATTCAAAGATGCTTTTGATTTGAGAACTTGTTCTAAAGGCTTTTCTTATTTTTTTTTTTATTTTTTCTTCATAAGCTTGTAGAGATCTCTCTAATTGTTCAAATATCAAATTGTCTAAATTATTTGATTTTTCAATGGCACAAACCACATAGTCGAATTTTGGTGGTAACGATCGAAAAATTTTCTGCACCACACAAACATCTTCTATCATCTCACCATATCTCCTCATTTAGCTTATTATAGACTTTACCATTGAGCAAAAATCTAAAATAGATTCAACATCCTTCATTTGTAAAGCTTCAAACTGGCATCGTAAAGTTTGGAGTCGTACCTTTTTCACCTTATCAACTCTTTGGAGGAAATTCTTCAAAATCTCCCAAGCTTGCTTTACTTTGGTAGCATCGGCCACATTTAGAAATACAGATTCATCCAAACCTTGATGGATAAGCAATGGCTTGTTGATCCTTCTTCTTTATTTTTACAAAAGCATCCTTCTCATTTTGAATTAAAGATCCTTCATTTTTGGGTGGAGTAAAGTCTCTTTCTATAATATCTCATACATCTTGTGAGCCAATTATGACTTTTATACGAACACACCCACTCTCATAATTTTTTTTTGTAAGACAAAGAAATTAGAAAGAAAATAAATCATTGCTAGCCATCGCTAGAATTTTAATAAGAAACCAAGTTCTGATACCACTTTGTTATAGATAAGAGGAAGAAGTTAGAGAGAGAGACTAATGAGAAAACTCAAGTTTTTTTATTATGGTTCTTGCAAAAAAGCTTCAAGTACTGACTATTTATAGGCATTATTACAACTACTAGAATAATATAATCACCAACAAATATAATAAATCTAATTTATGACTCATAACTGCTACTAAACCAAAAGTGTATAGAGATTCTAATTTATTAAGTTCAACTACTAAAAAAATAATTAATTATATTTTAATTTACAAATAATTTCTTAACAGAAAATTGAACAAACACTTACCTAGGTCAAATATATTTGTCTCGGTTCCAAAATTCCTTGATCCAATAATGGGAGAAAAAACCTTATACCCTGTTAGATGTTCC